TTGGAAAGTAAGTGGCCAAAATATAAATCTGAGATTATGTCCAGGTTATTTAACTGCAGAATTAAAAATAAGAAAAGAAAAAATTTCCCATTCTTCATTTACACCTTGCCTGTGTTAACCATTGGTTTGACTCTTTGTATACTTTTTTCATTTAAACTTCCCAATAGTTCTGTAAAGGTAGCATCATTTTCCACTTTACAACGAGACAGCTGAGCCGCTGAAAGATTAAGTTACCTGCTGCCTCAGTTTCCTACATGTGGTTGGTTTAAAAGGGGGAAACTTATGCTTGCTGAGTCCTTGAAGCCACAGGTAAGAAACTGAGGTATAGACAGGGCCATGCTCTCTTGAGGGGTTCTAAGGGTGCATTCTTCCTTACCTCTTTTGCATTGTGGTGGCTCCTGGTGCTCTTGGCTTGCAGCAGCATCCCTCCCATCCCCTCCTCTGGTGTCATTATTCCCAAGTGGGATAAGATGAGGGTTAAAATGGACTTTGGCTCTGAAAAGCTTTACCCCATTGGGGTGAAATCCAAGTTAAAAAGGTAGACACCCGTGTGGAAGTTCTGGACTCTAGAAGTAGAGGCTATCCAGACAAAGATCAAAAAGAGAAATGACTGCTGGGGATTTAGTTCAGCAGCATAAGCACCTGCCTGGCAAGTGCATGGTCATGAGTTCAATTCCTGGTACCAAAAAAAGAGAGAGAGAGAGAGAAATGAGCCAGGTATGGTGGCACACTTCTGTAATCCCAGCACTTGGGAGGCTGAGGTAGGAGAATTGTTTGCAAGTTGGAGACCAGCCTGGGACACAAAGGAGCCCAAGGCCAGCCTGAACTACAGGGCAAAACAAATGAGAGAGAGAAAGAGAGAAAGAGAGGAAGAGAGAAAGAGAGAGAGAGAGAGAGAGAGAGAGAGAGAGAGAGAGAGAGAGAGAATAATATTTCTAGTTGGGGAAATAAATGATGTGTCTCAAAATATAATGGAGCACAAAATGAAGGGTGCCGTGGGGGGGGGGGACACCTGCCGGACAGTTGCTCTGAAAGAGCCTTTGTGGAGATTCTGAATTGTCTCACCAAGTTTTTCCATGCCCAAAGACTGGTCTAGAAGTAGAAGGTGAAGGCTACTGTAGGCCTCCGTGGAAGTCATATTTCCAAAATGGTGGAACAGGATTTCCCACTCGTGTGTTCTTTGTGCAGTGTGATGCTGACATCCATCAGAGTGATGCCTGTGACGACTCCTCTGTCTGGGGGGACCTGTGACTGGCAGGAGTTCCCTCTCTCTCCTGAAACAGGTCGGAAAAGGTGATCCAGCTTTTTCTTGATCTCAGATCCAGCCACCACGTGGTGAAGAAGCCTAATGGGCACATGGAGAGGCCTGGGGTCAGTACTCCAGGCCCTGAGTGGCATAGTCAGTACCCAGCCTGGATGATCAGATTGTGTGTGTGTGTGTGTGTGTGTGTGCGTGCACGCGCAAGACTTCATGCTGCACAGAGCAAGACAGTTGGCACTGGGATACCACTCAGGCCCCCCCTGCAGGTAGTAAGTATGTTAGTCAGGTTTGAGCATGTTTTTGGGGCCCCACAGCCTGGTTGAGTTGGTGTATAAAATTAACCATTACAATGAATAAATCAATTAGTGTTGTTTAAAGTCACTAAGTTTTGGAGTAAGAGAGGAAGGGAACAGCCTGTTTCTATTCAACAGTAGGAAACTAGTTGGAAAATAAGCAACTGTGGAAGAAGGTGGCTATGTAGTTGGAAAAAGCCAGAACAGAAATGCTATGCAGACACAACTAGACTTGGATCCAAAGCTTTAGGAAAGCGTATTTCTAGAAGTGAGGGAGTATTAGCCAGCTTTCTCATCACTGGGCCAAAACACCCAACACTTGGTTTAAAGGAGGAGTGGTTGATTTGGTTCAGTTTTCAGAGGTTCAGTCCATAGTCAGCTGGTTCCAAGACAGAAACCACATGGTGGAAGGGCCTGGTGGAGGCCAGCTGCTCACCCCATGGTGGCCAGGAAGCAGGAGGAAAGGAAGTCCTGGGGACAGGAATATTTTACCTCGGGGACCTGCTTTTTCCAGTCAGGACCAACCTCCTAATGGCACAGTCGGCTAAGAACTGTTCAATGGGTTATTCTCTGATGAGTACTGTACCCCTGTAATCCAACTGCCTTCCCAGCACAGGAGACTTTTGGGGCTGTTTTAGATCAAAACACAAGGTAAATAGCTGAGAAGGAGGCACTCAGCTGTCCCTGGATCAAGACTGTGGGGAGAGAAAAGATCCTATATCAGGCAATATAACCAGGAAATTCACCATAAAGCAATGAAAGATGTACCCTGAAGACAGAAACACTGTATGACTTATGCTAGGGCAATGTTGGCAAATCTATGGCGTGCATTTTTTTTTTTTAAAGATAAAAAGATGCTAATGTATGCACTGGTTTTTTCTAAACTGAAACCTCAGTGTTCGAGCTTAATGGCAGTGTGGGCACTGTGTGATGCAAAAGTGGGTGTGGGATTGCAGATCGGCCCCTCGCCCGAAAAGCTGTGCCATTGCTGGTCGAGGACAATATGAGAGTGGTCATCCTGCAAGAATTGCATCAGGAAAGACAAGCAGAGCTCCTTCTTGATTTTCCTTCCCTCTTTCTCCCATCCCTGTGACTGCGAACCCAGTACCTATTTCTATCTAACCATCCTGTGGAATTTAAACCGTCTCTAGGTTGCTTACAGTACCTGACAGTATGTATGTGATGGTTTTACCGGATCCTTTGAGGAATGGTAAGAAAGAAGCCTGCTCACTACACATTTTGACTTTCTCTGTAGTTCAGGCTCCCCTTGAACTCACTATGCTATAATCCCAGCACTTAGCCTCCCGAGTGCTGGGATTATAGGCATGCACCATGACACCTGGATTCATAGATAAAATTAAAAAAAATTTTTTTTCCACCCAAGTTGGCTTAAATCTGGTTTGGTTTAAATCTGAGGCCATAGATGTCAGGGATATGGAGGTCAACTCCATGGCTACAGTAATACATTTCACCATGCAAGCAACATACAAATTGTGATTGTCACGTCTCAATGTTGCGTTTTTTGCTTGTAGCACATCTGACTTGGACTCATTACACTGCAACACCCAACAGGGTCTCCTTATGTTTCCCAGGCTGGGATCCTACTTGCAACCTTCCTGCCTCAGCTTCTCGAGTGCTGGTACTACAGGTGTGTGCCTCCACACCTGGCTAAGATCTTATGAGGAAACTGAGGCTCAGGAAAGTTGAATTTCTTATGATTATGGGGTGGTTGGGCCAACTGTACAAATATCTAGAGGTGTGTGTACCAGTTCCCATCAGACCTTGCTACGCACAGTAGCTTTAGATTTGCTTTTGTACAGCCAAACTCCACCTGCCTTAGGGTTCTGGTCCTCTTCAAGGACCTTCCTCTGTCCAGGTTACATCAGCTTCTCCCTGCTTTGAGTCCTTCTGAGCCTTAGGATAAGGCCCCGAGGTGGCACAAGCTGGCTCTCATCACCTTCCCCAGCCACACCAAGTGCTCCCCCACCCTTCATGTTCTCACCAAGGAGCTCACTTTGCACCACCATGACCAGCTTACTCATGTTTGTATTCTCCGGGCCTTGGAAGTGTCTGAAACATAGTGGGCAACAATTATTTATTGGGTGAATGAGGGAAGATCTGTACCTATGGCCAGATCTGTCTGCTCTGAGTTAATCCTTTTTCAAAAATACAACCTGTCATTGATTGAGGGTCTTCTAGGCCAAGAGCTCACCATCATTTTAGGCAGACGACTGGGCCAGCTTTGAAGATGAGTAGCACGACTCATGCAGGACTAATGACCTGGCTGTGCTGTCACAGTGAGAGCACAGAGACCCCAAATCCAGGCTGGCTGCCCAGGAGCGCAGACACAGATGTCCATGACTTTGATGCAGGACACAGGCTTCTGCTCTGCACACTGTCTGAGGTCAGTGATTCAAAAGAAAACAGATCCTGAGCCCCAGAGAACCTGCCTGGGCGTGGTGAGCTACTCCTGGACAGGTCAGAATCTGAAAGAATAAATGTAAGCCTGCATTGAACTAAGACAAACTAGAACAAGAAAGAGCAGGAACTCAGACTGTCTTCCAGAAGTGAGAGGCTCACTACCAAGGAGGGGAAGAGGGAAGCACCCCCATTGCCATCAGCAATCAAAACATTGAAGAGACACCAGGTATGTGGGGAGCTGGGGACAGGCGGGAAGCCCAAGAAACAAAAGAAGTTGGATCACTTCGAATGGGAAGAGAAGGAAAGAGAGCCACACTTCTAAAATCCGCAGAGATAAAAGACTTTCCGACATAGTAATCAAATAAATGCCTGTTTTCTCTGGAAAGCAGACAGCTGCTGCAAGATCCTGAGAGCTGAAGCAGTGAGGACAAAGGGAATTCCTTTGATGGGCGTGGGTCCAGGACTGCATGTCTTGAAACTCCAGTTTTACTGGTTGCAGGGGGTGGGGACTTTCTCAAGGGGCTTTTAGAAGGAACAAAAAAATTTAACTCTCTAAAGGATACCATTTTGCGAAAAAGGAAATTTTCTTTAACAAATCAACAGAACATAGGCGCATCTATTATCTGCTATGCGAAGCACCGCAGGAACTTAAGTGCAAGCCGGGCCCTGTTCCTAAGAGAACTGTATGGTGTCACTCTCGCATGTAGGGACCAGTGAGGAAATGCCTGTGCACTTCCTTTTCTGATGTAGCTCAAACACAGTATTGATAGTTGATTTGCAACCCTGTGCAGATCCAGGGCCCTAAGTGCTGAGAATCAAAACCATCTCCACACTGATCTATGCATGCAGTTCTCCAAACCTGGGTAACTTCGCGAGACAGTTCTATAAAACGGGCCCTGAACTGGTAAGATGCCATGAACTAGAAAGGATGAGCTGGCCACCTTGATTTCATTTGAAGGTAAAGGAAGACAAAAAGTTCACCCATTTGAAGATCACCTATTAAAAAGGCAAGATGACACCTCACATCAGTCTGTGTAATAATTTTACTGCATAACAAATGACAGAGATTGCATAAATCATTAGGTAACAGCATACAGAGAAGAACAAACCAAGTAAACATGGTTACTGTGATCATTGAATAGGAAAAACAACCCAGTTCTTACAAATACCACTGAGCCTCCAAATATGACTCTTTTTGAGAGAAAAATTACCGCTTGCATTTTCTGGACAGTGATGTCTGTAGTTCCATTACGGAAAATGTGAGACCACTTTACAGATAAAAACATTAAAAACACAACGCACATAGATGTGTAGCCCTCTTAACACTGGATATAACAGAAACAAGACGTCAGGGACCCTGCTTTTGCCTGAACATGGCTGGGGGTTCCTATCAGTCAGTAGCAGTTTGTGTAGAACCCTGCATAACCTTCTGTGCAGGGAAAACGCCTGTGCTGGGTAGTACAAACATACACTGCAGGAATAAGTTTCTTCCAATGGAGGACAAAGAATATAAATAGATTGGACGTTAAAATTTTCCATTTGTCACTTGATTATTTGCCTTGCCCAACACATAAAAATACAAATAAATATTTCCTTATAAACCAAGTTCATGGTATACTATAAAAAAAGATTTAAAAAACCCTCCCCCAAAATCTTAATTTACTCTTATTAAATAAAAATGCTAATATACAGATACATCTGATATTTACATAAATTGTAGGACTGTCATTTCCTGGATACATTTGAGGTTTTCTCTGTCTTCCTTTTTTTCAATACTAAGCACTGAATCCAGGAGTCTTAACCGCTGAGCTACATCCCCAGCCTTTCTAAGGTTTCTGAGACAGTTTCCCTAAGTTGCAACTTGTAATCCTCCTGCCTCAGGCTGCCATGTGCCATGTGCCATGTAGCTGAGGCTACAGGTACACAACGTGTGCCCAGGCCACAACTGAGGTTTAATGGTGTTAGCAGTCTAACACACAAGACTTCCATCCCAAACGCAGGTTTAATGCTAGTAAAAGTCACAAGATAATTTTCTTCTTTTTAACTTAGGTAAAAAAGGCTTCATTTTGGGGGGTTTTAGAATTATATTTCAGTTGTCTGAAAAAATACAATTTCGATGCAAAAAGTGTATCAAGCATTCAAGAATATATCGCTGGTGTAATCTTTTTGCATGTCTTTGATTTCATAGAAAGAACAACCAACCATACACCTGAAAAGAGTCTAAACCAGCTGAACGTAAGTGCACGGTTTCGGTGCCCAACGGCCCACATGCCCAGGAGGTGAAGGATGAAGATCAGACATCTTTCTTCTGCCTCTGCTCTAGCTTTCTTCTTAGCAGACTGTAATTCTCCTTGGTGCCTGCTGCTGCAGGGTCGAGCTGCAGGGAGATTTCGTAGTGTTTCTTGGCCAACTCGAGATGTCCCCAGCGGTGGTAGAGCACAGCTGAAAAAGCACGAGATGGATTTCATTGGCAACACTTCTGAGTAACTTGCAGTGGCCTCTTCAACTGCTGGTACCAAGAACTATTATAGGAACTTTGCAAAGTTAGTTTTCAAAAATCAGTGCTTAAAAAATATTGTTTATACTACAAACTTTTATTGGTACTGGGGATCAAACTCACGACCGCAAGGCAGGCACTATGCCACTGAGCTAAATCCCCTGCCCTGTACTATGAACTTTATTGATCATAACTGCACTCCTTGGGGACTATGCATTTAACCCTTGCCAGGGACTCACAGGGCTATTTGTGTTGCTGATGTGACGTAGTGGCTAACAGTGACACTGACACTGTTACATGAAGAGGTAAAGAGAACAGTGCAGTGTCTGGAGGCTGCCCTGAAACTTCCACGGAGCCAGGTGGGGGAATGTGGGGCTTAGGCAGCGCCTAGAACTCTGCCTGTCAGCCAGGGATGTAGCTCAGCAGCACAAGCACCTGCCTGGTAAGTGTGAGTTTGATCCCCGGTAAGAACTCTGCTCGCACACAAGCCCAGCCTTTTGTAAGAGACACCTGCTGTCTATTGGTTTGAGGTGCTAGAGGCTGAACTCAGAGCCTTCACATTGAGCTGCATCCCCAGCCCTTTATAATTGTTTGAGACAGGGTCCAGACTGGCCTTGAACTTGCAACCCTCCTTTCTCAGTTTCCCAGACTACCTGCATTACAGGCATGTGCCACTGTGCCTGGCAGTTGTTTATTTTGAATAAAGATTTCTCCGTGCCGTTCAGCAAAGCAACAGTTGTGCGCTGCCAGCTGAAAACAAGGGCTCTGACGTGAAGGTCTGACTGTAACATGATAGCTACGCTGAGCCAGTTATTAACATGGTAAGCCTGACTGCTAACGATGATTCTCTAAGTAAACCATCTTTCTCCAGGGATAGGAAAACAACTACTCATGTTCTGTGACTTTTGTGATGAACAGTTTGGAGTGGCAGGAAAGAAATTTGGCAAACAGAAATACTCATGTGCCTGTGCACTCCAAATACCTGCAGGCTGGAAGAAAGGAAGCGAGGGCTCCTGGGAGTGAGCACTTGTGGGTGGAGTCTGGGCCACGGCACAAGGGAACACAGCAAAGGTTGGAAGACGGGGAGTCCGTGGTGGGAAGAAGAGGGCACAGGAGGTGTCAAGTAGGAAACTGTCACCCACAGGAGCAAGACCCGAGTTCCAAAACTAACAAGTGACAAAGTCAGTCACGATTCTGGGGGTGGTCCTAGCCATCCAATTACAATCTGTAGCTGTCTTTGAAAAGTAACAACTGAACCACATCTTAGTCCCAGATTAGGAAGGATAAGCTAGCACTGAGGAACATACCACTGCTCTCTGAATATGGATTTCACAGAAATATGTCATGCTGTTCCAAGCACATGGAGTTCCAAGATTTAAATTGGCGAGAAGCCGAAGCATGACTTCCCGTGAGCCGGCCGGTGTGCAGGCAGGGACAAGATAAGCAACCTCCCCCTCCCCCAAGCCAGTAAGTAATGGGCTGATTTGGAGGAAGTCAGGCTGAGATGATAGCATCTGAAGTATTGTAATAATAATAATAATAATAATGCTGCTTGTATTGTTTAACTGACTTTGCAGGCCTATGGCATCTATTTGGAGGATAGCAATATGCACTGTAGCCACTTTGGTCTTGGTTGTGAAACTCAATGCTTTACTCCGTTTTGCTGCTCTGTTTTATTCCAGCATTTGGTAACCTGAGCAACTATTTTGAAGACAGCAATATGCACTATAACTACCACTGTTAAAATCCTACCATCTTGTTTTGAATACTATATAGCTATTATTTTTGTTATTTTGCTTTTGTTGTTTTTTGAATTGTTTGTTGATTTTTCTGTTTTTTCTTTTTTTCTCTTAAAATAGTATTTGAATTGGAAAGTTTCCTTACCTAAATTCCCGTGGTAACTTGCAACATTTGGGTTTGCTTTAATTGCCTTGAGGAATAAAGCTTCAGATTCCTAAAAAATGAAGCACATGGAAAGAAAGCACTGTACATGAAGGCCTCACTGCTTCATCGCCGGTGGTTTTCACCCTTCTGCCATCCTTGATTTGTACCGCTGCAAGGCTCCAGAAACAAGGGCCAGAGAGCCAGCAAGGACACTGCGGTGTACAACAGTGACCACAGGGAGGGCCAATTTGCCTGTGAGCTCTGCCACCTGCCTCTTGGAAACAGCTGGAATCCTGTGACTGCCAGCCAGTCTCCTGGTTCCACGTGCAGTGGCGGAGGAGAGGAGGGGAAAGAACAGAAGCGGACCGTGGAGAAGACACCTGGCCATTGCCTGTCAGCCCACACTGGTGACCTCTCTGCCTGGACTCTGAAGGCAGGGGTGGGGCCTGTTTAATCTCCCCGAGAATCCATGATACCCTTGGGGACCCAGAAGCAGCCCAGGCAGCTGGAAAGAATGAGCAGAGAGTGAGGAAGAAATGCTGTGTGTCATGGAAGCTATCATGGTACCATGTATGACTGTGACCAGATGCCCCCGAAGTGCAGGCACTCATTCTTGGATAGAGTTGCGTGTTCTCCCAATCACCCTCACTTCCAGTGTGGACACTCTGACATGGGGCAAAGTCTTCCGATCTGATCATGCCAAACGTGGCAAACCATGTGGTTACCTTCTACTGTCCTCCCTGACATGTGCTGAGGGCCATTAGCCACTTCCCCTACCTTTCCTGTCTGAACAGGCCAGGTAGTCTGTGATTGGCAGCACACCGAGCTTACACAACCAAGCCCACTGGAGAGCAGTGAGCTGTTTAAAAACCGTTCCGCAGCTGGGCCTGATGGCGCAGGCCTGTATCCCGGTCTCTTCAGGGCTAATGCAGAAGACCATAGATTCAAGCCCAGTCTGGGAAGTTTAGTGATTAGCAAGACCCAGTTTAAGAATTTTAAAAACCTCCCAAAAGTGACAAAACAAATTAAAATAACAAAGGGTGTAGCTCTGAGTGAAGTTCCCTGCGTTCGATCCTCAGGATAGCAATGGGATTAACAAAGAAGATGGGTTTGTAGATGGTCTGAAGGTTTCAAAATCTAGGCAATGAGCCAGTTTACACACACACACACACACACACACACACACACACACAAGTTCACACTTTTGTTACTACACTAGAAATCTATTTAAAGAAACATACCCAGTAAAAGTCAGGAAGAATCTAGATGTGGAAAAAAGGGAATTTGAAACAATGTGACATAAATGTGCAGTCTGGAAATGACTTTATTACTGCAACCTGCTTTTAAACTCAGGTCCAGTGAATGGGGTGACATGGAGAGAGAAATCAGTGAGGGCAGTGTCACATTAAACCTGGAAAGATTATGTCTGCAGTTTTTCTTGATCCCATTAGCTCCAAATTGGAAATTACATGGTGCAAAGTTAACATAAAAAGGTTGCAATGCTGTTTAGAGAGCCATTTAATGCTTTAAATTTTATAAACATATAAACTTCAGTACTCCTCAATTACAAATCATGGTCTTGTGCCTCTTCTTCTATTACTCAATCAGGAGATTGGGCAGATCACGGTCTCCACTTCACACACGTGCAAACTGAGGCTGCTGGAGCCATAAACACAGGAGAACTCTGCCATCTCGGCCTCAGAACAGGCTGTGGAAGCCTGCAGGATCCAGGGTTAACACAGGCGTGAACACCTGCCTGTCAGCACCCTGGACAGCAACAGAGGCTTTACCAACAGGCCAGGGCCTGGCTAAGGAAACCAATATAAGACAGCAAATGGCTGGGTGAGGATGAGCCACCCGGAGAGCAGACCCTGTCTGGAGAGTGTGTCCCCTAGAGCGCTGCAAGCCACCACCACGGCCCCTTCTCCAAAGCAGCACCAGCCCCCACCCCCAACAGAACAGCAACAGCAAGAGGTACCTCAAACTCTTCAGCCTGGGTGGGGACCATGGCTGGAGGAGTTACCACCTGCTCCCCACTTGGTAGCTGTCAAAAAGGCTCACAGTGAGCTCTGTGCCCATGACTTTATCCTCTGTTTCCTTATCTTAGGCTTTGCACTACTACCCCGACAACTAGGATGAAAACGTGTGTACAGAAATGGGAAACTAATTTCTCCATTCTACTTATCTGGAACAATAAAGAACCATGTAAACTGGAAGCCAACCCTGGGTTCTGTCCCCTTTACAGAAATTCCGGTTTACAGCCTGCAGCATGGCAGGAAAATCAATACAATGATTGTGGGGCTGCGTCAGAGGAGAACCCAGAATCCTGAGCTGGCCCAGGAGGTAATGGCCCAAAAGTCACCAGGAGGCAAACCTGTGATTCTCCTCCATGCTCCCTGAGCAGGGTCATAAAAATAAATAAAATAAAATAAAATAAAATAAAATAAAATAAAATAAAATAAAATAAGCCCCCTTTGAAGCAAAATCTGGAAATGCTAAATAAAGATATATAATGAAGCTACTAAACTTCCTGACATTCAAAAGGAGGGCTAAGCATGTAGTTCAGCTGAAGGCCCTGGGTTCAATTCCCAGTACTGAAGAGAGATAGGAGAGACAACAGACAACAGACAGAGGAGGAGAAAGAGGGAGAAAGACGGAAAGGGAGGGAGAGGGAGAGACAATGACAGGAAAGAAAAAAATTGTATCAATAATGACAGCTAATCAACAGAAATGAAGAAGTAAATAACTCAGGGCAAAGGTCAGAAAATATTAATTACTCACTAACTTAAGGCCTTGAGTCTCATCTGTAGACTCAGTGATCAAAACAACATACAGCTCCTGTTTCTTAAACAAGGTATCCTTCCTCAGAAGAAAAAGGCACGGCTTCTGAGGGTGCCCTTTGCAGGTCTGGTTGGGAGCTGGGGCTGCCAGGTAGGACTGCAGGTTCCCTGGCCTGACCCAATCCCAGAGATGGTCCCCATGAGGCACTCTCGGTGCCTATGACTGTAATACACAAAACCAGGTCTGAGGTCACAGAGTCACCCTAAATGAAGAGGGAGCGAGGCCCCGGCCACTCCTCACCAGGTCTGGCAGGCCCAGGGAAGCAGATGTGATGTCTGCAGTTTTGGTCGTTTAGCAACTTTTAGGGTCTTCCTGTAACTCTGAGAAGAAAAGGGCCTGGAAGTAGCAAGAGCTACTTCCTCCATGGGCTGAGATGGCTGGTCTCCCTCCCTCCCATTTTTCCTTCCTCTCCTCTCCTCTTTTTCTCTTTGAGACAGGGCCTCACTATGTAACCCAGGCTGGCCTTGAACTTGCAGTGATTCTCCTGTCGCAGCTCTCAAATGCTGGGACACAGGCATGCACCAGCACACCCAGCTTGGCTTTTCTTTGTGCAGAACACAGGTCCCACACACAAACCCAGAGCTCCAACCCACCATAAAGGACAATGCCTCACCCCATCCTGAGGCGGTGGGGCAGGGCACAGGGGTAGCACTGTCCCTGGACTGAGTGGGCCTCACCCAGCTCCTCCTGGTCACTTCCCCTTCCCCACAGTGCTACCCTCCCCAAGTGTGAACAATGGCTGAGCTCTGGGTGTGACCCTGTTCACCCACCTTTTGGGCAATTTCTCCTAGGAACAAGCTGACTAAGCCAGCCTGCTGTACTGCTGCCACAGCCCTGGCCTAATTCCGAATGAAATCCTGATGCCTTCTGTCAGCTGCTGGCACCCAGTGCAAGAAATCACGGCCCAAAGTTTACCCACCTTGTATTTCTGGGATTTTCCCAACACGTTTGCCAAGGAGAACATAAGAGAGTGATCATTAGGTATTAATTCCAGTGCTTCTCTTCCAACTGCTTCAGCTTGGGCTAAATTACCTGGAAGGAAAAAATAAAAAACACACTGATGCTGTACTTGTGTTTCTGTCTCTTAGTAGGGTATATATACATTGTACACAATCGTTACAAAATCCGTGTGGAAGGCACAATGCACACTTTCACATGCACATAGCCACAGCCACTCAGCAGTCTGGAAGTAACACGCAAACAGCCTGTGATTCGATTCTGCAAAGCATTCAGTAATTAGTTCTAATTTCTTCCTAGATACCAGCTATATCCTAATCAGAGAAAGAGAGTTTGCAAAATGGGTGTGTCACAGTAACACTGTTAACTTCTGATGGGTTTTTCTTAGAGAATCTAGAGCTCTCTTATGCCCTTTAGATGGCTTTCTACTTTTAAATTATGCCAAATCAATACTACAGTTTCTTTTTTTTTTTTTTCCTGTTTTTCATTTTTATCGGTACCAGGGATTGAACTCACGACTGCCTGCTTGCAAGGCAGGTGCTTATGCAGCTGAGCTAAATCCCCAGTCCCAATACTACAGTTTCTTAAAGGGTGGTTGGTTTTACAAAATAATGGTTGCAAAATAACTTCTAATTGACTCGATCTAGTCTGTTCTGTGCTAAGAAAGCAAATCATCAAATCGTTAGCATTGAATCTCAAAGAACCTAAGGCTGTGGAGACCAGAGGGTGACTCCTGTGTGTGGACAGCCCATGGACTTGGGAAGTCACCCTGCTCGTTCAATCCAAAAGCTCGGAAGGGTTCCTGCTCACATCTGTGTGCCCCTAGCATTCTGGGTGAGGCTGTGGCTGGCAGATAGATCATATGCCGTCTTTCACACCGCCACACAAATTTTAAATGCAGTATTTTCCATAACGTCCAGATCCCACTGTACTCCAGGACACCTCACTTTCTAGAGGAATAGACATTATGGTACAGAAGATTTAGGCCTATACATATTTATTTTTTGAACTCAGAGGGACAGAGCACTGAATTTCTGTTTCTTAGTTTTTCAATAGTACAGTGCTGGGCTCCATCTCCTGATTCCCCGATCTGCCCTTCTGCACCTGTGTTGTCCAGGAGGATGATCATGTTGTTCCAAGCCAGGCTGTGCTCCGGCTTCAGCACGGTAGCATTTCTCCACGCATTCAGTGCGTCCACGTGGCGGTTCAGGTCTGCATACTGAAAACAAAACAGACCCCCCCCACCAAAAAATCAATATCCCAATTTTTATGTTCTTTGGTTCTCTTAAGATATTACCCCCACAACCAACAAAATCCCCACCAAAACAAACAAAAAGATAACCCAACTTTTCTTTATAGATCTTTTAGTTTTTTGCTTCAACCTATTTACTTTTCAAAACTGTGGAAGACCACCTAGAGGACTCTCCTTGAAAGAAGAGTAATTATCCCCATCTTGGCTAAACCTGGCCCTGTCTCCACGTACTCATAGGCAGACAGCTGGCTTGGGCTTTTCCTTCTCCTTTCAACTGGCTTTGAACACTGTAAATCCACCTTGCCGAGGTGCTAGTACGTAGTCTTTGAAACAAGGCAACAGGTCAATGTTTCCCAACCCCCTGGCTCCCAAAAACCATGTGTAAGCTGGCAGGAGGGAGAGCCACGCTCCATGCTGTCAGCTGGGATTGAGCATCGAGATGAGAGGCTATGAGTTCCTGGGGCACCAACCCCAAAACGTCAGATGCTACCTCCAATTGTGTTATGCAGATGACTCTTTCTGCACACCCTTCTCTCTGCATAGTGCAGAGGTGACTTCAGGCCTCCTACCTAGCCCAGCTCATAGTACTCATGTACTTTCCCCCACTCTCGGTGACTATCCTCGAGCTACTTCCTTCGTCATGAATGAATAAAACCCGAGTTTGGCCCTGGGTTGAGGTCTTTGTTCCAGCTGACCATCACCCTAGCTGGACTTAGGACCTCCCTGGCTTCCCACAACTATAAATATGCCTTAGTGTCTTTATTCTCCCCATCAGTTGCACTAGAAGTGGTAGATTAGAATTAACTCATTAGAATTAACTCACTAGAAGTGGTAGATTAGAATTAACTCACTAGAATTCCTATAAATTTTCCATAGGGTCACAAATATAAATTCCTCAGACTACCTGGCTCTCTATACAGAACAATTTCAAGGAAGTGGGTATTATAATCATTATCCCCACTTTAGGACAAAGCAACTAAGGTGTAAGGAAATTAATAACTTGCCTTACGCCATGCTTCTAGAGGTGGAGAATCAGGGATGACAGCTTGGGGTGATCTCGACACGTTTTAACTAGAGAATCTATTATTTGGTGATTGTATCAAATTGTATTTCAGGCTGAGAAAGAACTGTTCATCATGCTTTTTCTAGGAAGTCTCTATATATCCATCTTTAATAATTCAAAATAGTAAATGAACACTTCATGTGACTAAAAGCTGTATGTGTCCAATTCACCACGTGAAGAATGATCCAGGACCCCGTTCTCACCTACATCAAAACCTAATGCTATGAAAATGTGTGTCTCTCAGACCTACTTTACAAATTTCTTGAAAATTCTCCAGGGTCATGCAAAATCTCTCTGACAAGCTGGAGCCTGGCTCGCTTCACGTAGGAAGGAGAGATTATCCATTGCCATCTTTTGAGAGGAGATTTTGTTTAACACTGGTAATACAAAGTGTCTGACTTTCCATCTGCATGGTTAATGACAGCCTTGGCCAAGTGGTGGATTCCGTAGCAGGTCACAGTCTGGCCACCCCGAACTCACTTCAATGTACCTTTCATTTGAAAGTACTCTATCCCTCTAACTCTGCACAAAGTAGAAGTGACAGCAATTTATCAGTTGAAGGCTGGTTTCTTTCTTCCTGTCACGTGTATATTTGTAACAGAAAACAGGGACGTTCGGACTTATTGCAGGTCCCACACAGTAAACAGATGGTATGATACGCAAAAAGGGTTAATGAACTCTGGAAACACTGAAGAATATACAGTCCTGGGACTAAAATGTCTGAATTCTCCACAAGACTCAGAAAATCAGCTGGTAAAATCTTATCTTTTAGTATCATTAATGATATAAAAAGTTCAAAAAATTAAAATAATGTAGATGCTTAATTATAGTAATGCTTAATTGTGTCTCTCTTTTTTTTGTTTTTTTTTTTGTTTTTTGAGATGAGGTCTCGCTATGCAGTTCAGGCTGGCCTTGAGCTCACTTTGTAGCCCAGGCTGGTCTTGAACTTGCATCGATCCTCCCACCTCAGTTTCCTGAGTGCTGGGATTACAAATTGTGCCTCTTTATAGGATATCTCAGTGATTCTTTAAGTCAGTTTTTGCCAGCAAGGTATGCACATGTGTCACTTGGTTAAAAATCTGTGGGGACATTCTAACACACCCATGACAAGGAGCCTAAGTTCATTTATGCAACACAATATAATTCTTCATGTTATTTTTCTATTTATTACTATTACTTTGATTGTTATTACCATTTATTGCAGAATAACATATCAACTCAAGTTACAGACTTTTATTTTTGTAGATAAAGACACTTTATAGGAAACAGAGAAACACGGTAATTTAACAATAACTACCCAGTGCAGGGCAGATGGTAGTGAACAAGTTACTCACCTATTCGGCCTTCACCTACCTTCCATACCCTGCTCTGAGGTGTGGTGCTAGGAGTCTGCCAACTACATTTCCAGGGGCCTTTGCCTCTAAGTTCCTTGTTAAGTTGCTGACAACAGGTACCATAGGTTCTTGTGTTTGCTCCCTCGAGCCTGAGGGCTTTCCTTTAGTTACTGATCTCTGTTACTATTCCCTTTCCGTTTTGTGCTTACAGTTGTATGATCAGTTCCCTGCATTAATCCTATATTTAAAAATCTCACCATGCCTTCTCTTCTTCCGACTCACACAATCCTGACTCACACAATTGTTTGAGCTGTCTCCAGTCATACCGCCAAGTGCCTTTACCATAACTCTCTAGGACCATCAATATGGCCCCAATAACCCAGCTCTTCCTAATTTCCTGTTTCACAAAGAGAACTGCATTATATTACCTTCTTATCTGGGGTTCAGAAATCAAAACAATTTCTATCTTCTATTACAACAATGTGGTTTCTAAAAAAAAAAAGACACCTTAAAGTTATTAGTTTCCTCTTATTTGCCAGTAAATAAATGGGTTAGTTGAGCTGTTAAAGATTAAGCTTTTAATGCTTTTAAGCTGTCAAGTGGGCAAAAGCTGGATAATTAAGCCACAATGGAGAGCAAAAACCTTCACTGAGCAAAACTGACAGGGAAGGGACCATGGGAACACTAATTGCAGGTAGCATAATTAGGAAATGATACCAAGGTCTCAATCCATCCAGTGCCAGTAAAAATGCAATGAATCCCAAGACCAGAACACCCAGTAAAAGCTGGTATTTCACATTCTGAGTCCCTTTCTTTGGATGTGAGTCTACAGAAGTTTCGTTTAGCATCAATCCTCTGTTTTCCAAATCCAAGGAACTGCCGAGGTTTTCCTGCCCTCTCCCACAAACAGCTTATCATGAGAGTAGCTCAGGTATTCGCTAGTCTTCTGGTTTCACAGACATGGCTGCTGCTTTTTTTTTTCTGGGTACCAAGAATCAAACTCAGGACCTCATGCTTGCCAGCAGGGATTGTGCCACTGAGCTACATTCCGGTCTGAGAAAGCTGTTTTCTCATCAAAGTACCAACTAGATCTTAAGGCACAGAATTCTGAAACATCAAAGAAAACAGAAAGGCACGCAAGGTCCACTGCTTCTAGAGAACGCTGCAGTGGGGTAAGAGGAAGCCTGTGCTGCAGGGCCTTCCCTGTTCTAACTGTTTGCTGCCGGAGAAGAAAGAACTCTGCTTTATCACACTGGAGCAGGCATGAAGATGAAGGTGCCTGCAAGCGGCATCTCTTAACCAAAACATGCTTTATGGTTTTCAAACAGACACGAATCACTTCGCTTTAACCTTATAACACAAGCCATCACCACACACTTACAGTGACTTAGGCTTCACCATTCCATAGCCACGTTCCCACCGTCTCGTTGCCTCCATCCATAAAATCCTATCTCCACAGCTCACAAAACCATGACCAGGCATTCCAGAAACAGAGAGGTTAAGACCAGAGGCATCCACGCCAGGGTAAAGATGGAAGCCAAGTTTTCCCATAAACTTCAAGGGCTCATGTTCTGTAGGCTGCATCTCAAAACAGGCCTCTCTGCTCTTTCGTGACCTTCAGGTCACAGTTCCGACAGGGCTGCTTCCCAGATGCAAGGCCAGGGGCAGGGCACTGCCGTCATGTGGGGACATTATTATTATTCTTAAAATATAGATTCTCTGTGAAGCTTTGGATTTCCTAAATCTGTGAGGGGTGGGGTTACTTGGATGTGTTATATGAACTATTGGTTTTGATTCACAAGAACGACAAAAAACAGAAACCTCAGAAGGTTAAAATGAGGATAAAAAGGCATTTCTTTTGAACACAAGAATGTTATCCTACTTGTGAGGCTAAGTGTACAAAAACCTGGAAAATTATTTAAAAATTTTTAAAAAGCCACATTACTATGCATAGTATTTTCCAGTTTGGCTTAGAGGAACTAAATTCTTTTTCCTATAACTATTTTGTAAAATAAATTTAAATATATTAGGAACATATATTTGGTTCCTTGAAACTAAATTAAAGAGTTGACTGAGGAGGTTACAGTCATTCCTGTTCAAAGAATTTTACTATTTGTGTCTCATTTTCTTTGCCAAGGAAACCACTAGTGAGCAGATCTTCATAAATACTCTATTAACATCAAAAATATAAAGCTATTATGGAACATACACTTTTCTGTTTCTATCAAATAATGTCAAAGCCCCTTCAAACAAATGCCCTAACTTCCAAAACTGTCTTTTTTGGGAAGGGTGCCCCCTGCAGATGAGAGGTCTGCTCCTTAGAAGAAGATGGGCAAGGAAACTCAGAAGTCACACTACAGGTTTGCTTTGAAATCTCAGATTCTATCCCATTTATGTTTTAAAATCAGAGAGACGGAGGTTTACTAGGAAATTACTCCTGAAGTACTGATTTTCAGGGCAGAGAGGATTTTCAAAGTTTTAATTTACAGAACTTTTTAGTTTACTGCCTTGGTGAACTCTTAAACTCAACTAATTCAAGAATTGGACTAATCTAAGAATTATGAGTGCTTCAACATTATATATAAGGAAATCAAGTAGCTACTTTCAAACGAGATACATGTACATGAAAACAGTTTATATAAAGTGGGTGGTGCTGGATAGGTATTAGTATTATCCTTTTATTCTCATTAAAGGGAAACTGAGTCTTTCTTCCCGTGGGTCTGGGGTCCTGACCTTACCAGTCGCCCAAGGTTGTAGTAGCAGTCTGGGTACTTCTTTCTGTGTTTGATGGCTGTCCGGTAACTCTGCTCGGCTGCTTCGAACCGCTTCAGGCTGTTCTGCACTATGCCCAGATTCATCCACGCAGCAGCAAAGTCTGGCCTGGAAGAGGATTTTTAAAAAAGATAAACAAGAAAAACAAGAAGGCAGAGCTTTGTCACTGGCATAATTATAAATACAATACTTACTGTATTTGGACAGCCAAAGACAGTAGCTCTTCTGCTTCCTGTAGCTCATTCCTTTCTTTTAAGATATTTCCAAGGTTATTCATGGCATGAACATACTTGGGATTTAATCTGGAAGTTGAGAGACAAACCAAGCTGACTGTTAGGACTCAGCAGTTTACACTCTCAGGAACTGGCATCTCAAAGTTGGGGTCATTAAGTGTACAGAGCGGTAATCTGTGAAAACCATGTGGGTATACATTACATTCCAACCGTAAAGCTGTTCGTAGTACCTGACGGCTTCCCGGTAATATCGGATAGCTGCTGTTTGGTTGCCTTTATCAGCCAGATTTTTGCCAATGTTGTAGTGAACCTGAAAATACAGGTGACAATTTGGTCACCAGCATGTAGACATCTTTGCTCAGAATTCGGGCACCTATCCTATCTTCCAGCTGAAGACACAAGGGGAAAAGGATTTTTAAAAAAAAATCACCCACTAGGACTTTTGCTACAGGGGACCTTGTGTCTTAATTCCCCGCCCTGTAAGAGATCACAGGAATACGGAGTAGTAAGCTGATAGATCACTAAAATGCCACAGAAGGAAAAATAACGAACTCAGCAGAGGACACTAGACCACAAAGCCAGCTGTTTTTGTTACTAACTCTCAAATCCCCGTCCTGCTCCCCCAAAACCCACACCCCAAAAGAGTTGAGATAATCAAGTACACGTGGCCAGGAAAAGAAAAGGACTGTCAGTTTATTTTGTCCAAATGCAGCCCTTCCTGCTAGACATCTTTCTGTGGGTGGTGTTACAAGTATTTAGCTTTATATCTACTGGGGGAGGGATGTTTATGTGCCCCCTAAATTCATATGCTGAACCCCTAAGCTCCTAACATGGTGGCAGAGAGGAGTGACTGGTCACCAGGATGGGAGCCCTTAGGAATGGAATCCAAGAGCCCTCTTGCTCCCTCCTCTGCCACATGGGCCACCATGGGAAAGCTCCTCTCCCCCGCCAAACACCATATCTGCTGGGGTCTTCGCCTTGGAATACCCAGGCCAGCACCAGGGAAGCAGTACTTGTTTATGCTCTCCATGCTGTGCTGATCTGTTAGGTCAGCTTGAATTAAGCTGACACTTAATAAAAATCCACGCTGCCTTATCCTTTGTGGGGACACCACAGCAGGGGGGCAAAAGCCCCGCAGGGCTCCGATCAAGCCACCATGTTAGTAAAGGTGTCACTGCAAGGGCTCTGGAGGCACGTGCATCATGGGTAGTGTCCTGGCCAAGGGTTTCTGAGCTGGGAGCTGAAGGGGCTCCTGAGCAAAGGGAAGCCCAGACATCAGCTGGCTGGCTGCTCACTGCCTTAAAGACAGGGGCAGCACAGATCCACAAGTGAGCCGAGGTCTCATTGAGTTGTCCTGGTTGGGCTTCAACTTGTAACCCTTCTGCCTCAGCTTTTCAGAGTCCTGGGATTGCAGGTATGCGCCTCTATGCGCAGCTTACGTGGTTAGTTTTAAAAATTATTTAGTAAGGATCATTTTATTTGAGGTGACAAATTTTACTTTTTAGCTGTGGTAAACCCATACCATCTTGGGCATTCGTAGGCTGTGTAGTCCAGGGTGTTGGTACATTAGCACTTGAAAACTTTCATCCTGAAAAATGGAAACTCTGTCCCCATTAAATAACAGCACCCATTTTTTCCTTCCCCGTGACCATCGTACCACTTTTTCACTATGAGTTTGACTATCTCACATAAAACCACACAGTATTTGCCTTATTTGCCTCAGTTAAATGTTCAGAGTTTATCTATGTTGTTGTATGAGTCAGAATTTCCATCCTTTTAAAGGCTGCATAATATTCCACTGCAAACCCAGTTTGTCCATCCATTTGCCAATGGTGTCCACATTTTGGCTATAGTGAATAATATTACTATAGGTGCAAATATCTGATTCTCTGCTTTAAATTCTTTTTGGGTCAGAAACTGAATGACTGGATCACTAATAATTATATAATTCTATTTTTAATTTTTTTTTTTGAAACAGGATCTCATTATGTAGTTCAGGCTAGCTTTGTAGTCGTTATGTAGCATAGCCTAGCCCTGAATTCACCATGTAGCTCAGGCTCGCTTTGAAATCAGAGCAATCTTCCTGCCTTATCCTCTCAAGTGCTGGGATGACAGATGTTTTCCATCTCACCTGTTTTTAATTTTATAAGAAACTAAAATGGTCAGTTATGTTATGGGGAGGGAGACAGAGACAGAGAGAGAAGAAGGGAGAGGGGAAAGAAAGGAAATAATTGTTAAAATTAGAGGACGAAACAGACAGGAGCAGGACTCACAGGTGCAGACCTACTAGAAATTCTCAAGCCACCTGTGAGTTAACTGACTGTCAACTTGGGCTCAGTAAACACGCTTCTGGGATGTATCCAAGGGTCACGGGGTGTGCCCTCTGGAACCATATCCAGCCCCTTTCTCTCCGGCTTTCCACGTGTGCTCTGCTTCCTGGCTGCCATGAAGAGAGCTGTTCTGCCCTGCCAGGCCCTGCTGTACCAATGATGCTTCAGTCGTGTAGCCAGTTGACCACGAACTGAACCCTCTGAAACTGAGCTGATTAAACTTTCCCCCCTTTATGTCATGGGTATGGGGTATTTTGTCCCCAAAACAGAACAGCTGACTAACCCACATCATGTTAGAATGCAGAAGCCAATAGAGGACATTTTTTTCATCAGACATGGGCTCAGAATAAATTACGAAGAGGACCTGGCACCTGAAGGACGAGCCCTGAAGATGACTACTGAAGACATTTATTAATGATCCAAAGTTCCTTGTGGGACCCAAGTGGCACCCAGGAGAGGATGCTGTACACCCATTCGGTTTGAGGACTCAGAGTGGCTGGCAATGGTAAAAGGTTGCAGCACAATGAAGACCTGGTGACAGCGCTCCCCTACTATTATACAGAGGCGAGTCTGTGAATTCGGTGAACAGGACACAGCTTCCATGATTGTAAAACCAAACCAAACCACAACCCAAACCTGACAATCAGGCTACTTGAAATAATGTTAGAGAGCAGAGGTTTTGTTTTTGTAGTGTGTAAGAGACAAAAAAATCTGTTTTTTCAACTTTCCCTCTAGCCTTAGTGCTACATGCACCAAGGCACAGAACCAGCCGAGAAGCTGGATAAAAACAAACATTACAGACGAATGACGCGGAAACGCAAACAGGTAAGAGCAGCTGTAAGGAAAGGCGCTATTCACACCAGGGCTACGGTTGTTTCACAGATTTTGCCAGCATCAGATGTTAAGCTTACAATGCTTTCAACACATCAAAATCCTCTAAGAATCCTGGTTGCTCATTAAGGAAGCGCCTAATGGTGGGATATGATTCTTTTCATTGTTAAAAGAACAGGAATTGTATCAGAGTTGTTACTAAGTGCAACATACATGGAAGCCTTGTGAGCTAAAAAGACTGCAAATAAATCAGGACACCTGGACTCTGGGCCCCAGCAGGCTGGCTGGATTGGGTTTCCATTGGCTCAGTTTAATCACTAATAATAAATACGGACCACACCAGGACACGGGCGTGACTTGAATGCAGCCTAGACCTGGGCACTCCCTACTCTGACACTGTGATCCTTCCACAAAGGTGAGTGCTGCTTTATAAATCTGGGCATCACCTGCCCACTTACTAGTCAAGGACAGGCAAGTGGGAAGCACTTGAAGCCTGTCCTGTGTGACGGGGAAGGAAGGACACACTTTCCTACATGAGCTCTCTTCCCTGAAATCCACCTAGCTTCTTTCAAAACGAGGAAGACGATTTTATGACCCTTCAATTCATAACAGAGATTAAAAAGTAAAGAGCACCAAACTGACATGAAACCCAACTCCATCCAGCAGCATCAATGAAGAAAGTTCTATCACCAGTGGGTCTGACAGAAGGGAGGTCCTGTGTGTACACCTTAGGTTAAAAAGAGAAACCCACAGTCACACTCTTAAACACCATGCACACCTATGTGTGCACACGCTGTGCTTCTGAGCGCACTGCCTGTGAAATTCTCCGCTGGGCAGAGTTCCAGGAGGTGGCTTTGCCCTTGCCCCCTCCCCTTTACCAGGGCACAGTACAGCGCCTGGTCTCTACCTAGTCACACAAATTACACAGTATCAGCTTAACCTTTTATGCCTCAGTTTTTCCCACCTAGAAAAAATAAAACAATATCCTGAACAGGTGGATCAGGGGGATTTAACTAAGCCTTTGCAAACAGCTGAGTTCCTTATGGTAAAGAATGACACAAATGGAACAGGTAATGACTATTATTCACACAGAAAAGTAAAAGTGAGGCAAATCTAATCGCATCTACCAAATTAAATCACAGACAACTGCTTTGTAGTAGCATGAAAGAAACTGATCAGTCAGCCAATCAAAGATAAAGCACAAAGTAATTTACTCTCATGACACCTCTTAAGTATACAACTCCAAGCAGATGTTTTAATTGTAGAAAAGACAATAAGGAGCCCGCCCCTTTGCTTCAGGGTGACAGTAAGAGGCCAACTCTTCCTTAGTTTTATTTATATAATTCGTCCAAAGTGACTGCTTTCCCCATGTACAGAAAGTGGAAATGTGACAAACCCCGGAGACCTGCCCCACAGGATGATTACGTTTAAGTACCCAGGCAGCCTGACCTGTCTGAGGATCAGAACCTAGAGTAACACCAAAGCCTTCGAATCTAAGGCCTTGACCCCCACTTTAAGCACACAGAATTCCCTTTCTGCCACTAACATGACATCAAAACTGGAAGGAACCTATGACAGCCTACACTGCCTGAGCACCTGCCATGTGCGGACACACTAAGGTGCCTCATTTCTTTCAGGCCTCACAACCAACTCAGCGGACAGCCTTCTCGCCATCTTAGAAACAGGCCATTGGAAGTTCAAAAAACTTACTTCTGCCAAAGACACAAGAACTTGGTTAGATAAAAAGCTTGGATTCAGCCAAAAATACAAGCAAGCAAGCGCAGAGCCCAATGAGCCTGCAATTACTGCTTCTTGGGAGGCTGAGGCAGGAGGACGGTAAGAGCCTGGCTCCGAAACAAATAAACAAAACGTACATGTGAATAAAATTTCTCCAGATATTGTCAGCAAGAAACACTGCCAACTTGAATGTCTGTGTGCTTACCTGTACCTAACCTCACAGAATGAGTCACAGGAAGCAGACTCAAAGGAGACAGAAACGTACAGGACCGTGCGGTGTGCAATGCATTGTAAACTTCTGCAACCCAATGACTGTCCGAAGCCAGCCTGCCCCCTGCATAGCAACTATAATATGACTGACGCTTCCTGTGTGCACTCTGCGCTGACATGGTCAGGTTTTCATGATTTTTTTCTTTTTTTGGTCCTTTTAAGAAAGGGTTTCATTTTGCCACTCAGGCTGGCCTTGAACTCACTTTATAGCCCAGATTGGCCTTGAACTCCCAGCACCTCCTGCCTCAGCCTCCAAGTGCTGGGATTATAGGCGGGCACCATCACGCTGGGCCCTCAGGATTTCTTCTGAATCATTTTGACTATGTTAAACTCTAATGATGCTTACAAAAATCATTGAAAAACAACAACTGGCAACAAGAAAAGAAAACCCATGTATCCTGTCACCGTCTTATCCTCCACACTGTCCACTGCCACTAACATTCCTCCTCCCCAGCTGAAGACGTCCAACATTTCCTGGCAACATCTTTGTGAAAGAAGCCTGGTGGTCAAGCTACCTTAGCATTGAGGGGACACACAGACAGGGCACTTCTAAAAAGCTGGTCCTCGTTCCTCCACTCGCCGCTTCGAATCACGCATCTCAGTGCGTTGATAAGTAAGATCCCCAGGATGAAGGCGGAGATGAGTTTCTTAGGGAGAGAGAAAGAGACACGGCGATCACCATCAGTGACCTGCGGACGGTGCTGCTTCGCGTGGCGCAGGCTGCATGGATACCTTTTGCTTCGTGTGTCTGCTCAGGGCTGCAAAGCCGAAGGTCAGCAGCACACAGTAGCCGGCGCTGGGGAGGTAGAGGACACGTTCCGCCACCACAAAGCCCACTCGGAAGAACAGGTTGCTTGCAGGGAGAAATGGGATCACGAGAAATCCCAGCCCCAGTGTAAGGATTCTGGAAAGAGAAAAGAGCTTAAACAAACTTCTCAAGAAGGGCATCCTAATTCATATTAAATTTGTGGCAAAGACCTTTCTTTTTTTTCACGCCATCACTTCAAGAAAGGGGCCATTGTCAGAGGGAAAAAAAATTCACCAGGAGAGTTTAGTTTAGCTGGTGGTCCAGGATAAGACATTAAATAATACAAAGACATTTCCTATCAAGCATAACGGTAAACCTGTAAATCATACAATTCATATCAATACAGTCAAAATAACTACACTTGCAACACAACACCCTAGAATCCACCTATTCCTTTCCATCGCTTCCTTTCCACTAAGGTACTGAATTTGTCTCAATCAGCTCAAAGTAGTTTTCATGGGAAAATTTCCTTCTAAACTTGAGAATACTACTGGGGCTGGGGATTTAGCTCAGCGGCATAAGTGCCTGCCTTGCAAGCAGGCAGTCGTGAGTTCGATCCCTGGTACCAATAAAAACGAAAAAGAAAAAAAAAAAAAAAAAAAAAAAAAAAAGAGAATACTATTAATGAGGTGGCTTAAACTTTATAAAATCTGAAATATAAACTAACGTTATTTTTTGAAGCTGGGCCACTCAAGCACAAGAAAGCTGAACACAAAGCACTTCCTGATCATTCCTGGTGTCCCTATGATGTGACAGGTGGGGAAGTCAGGTCATTTTGGCAGCTCCTTCCTGAACTCTGTGCCTATGGTGTTTTTTTTTTTTTTTTTTTTTTTTTTTTAAAATCCCACCTTACATGTATGTAAACTGACTGCAATTGGAAGCTTTCTGGTCTTTAGAACCACCAACCAAATTAAGATGCAGGTATATTCAAAACTTATTTTGAGAAATTGCTAATTCCACGAATGTTTACGTTTATGGGAAAGTACCTTAAACATTTGTGTTTCATAAAACAACGTTTCAGAAATTTTTTTCAGTCAAGAAAAAAATATGTCCCTTTGGGACAGCAGCTTATTTTGAACCCAACAACAATGAAGGACTCACCACAGCATTCACATTTTTCTTAAAATTGTAAAACAATGGATACAACACACACCCCTATGCACTCTGTTCTGATCACAAGTTACTCTTTACAGCTTACAGCGGGAAGGATCTCGAAGTGTGGCTTAGTGGAAGGAGATCCAATAGTCACCCATGCTCCCCTTCCGACTTCTCATCTCTGTAGCTGAAGAAACACTCAGGTCCCACATGCAGGCAACTCACTCTCGCTGCTGAGACGCACTGAAACCATGTCCTCATCATCACATCCGCACAGTTGTTAAAAAGGTCAGGGCTGCATTTTGCCAAATGTGCTTCTGGGCTAAAACTTACAACTCAGGGCTGCCTCTTACCGTCTCCTGCAGCTGTCCTCAGAGCACAGGGCTTGGCGGATTAAGCCAATTAGACAGAGCCAGAGAGCTGCCAGGGCAGTCACCCTCCAGTCACCAAGCGACTTAATGAGGGGGATGCAGCCCATGGACCAATCAAAGCACAGCCACCAGGGACACAGCAGCAGCCAGGCATTCAATGAATAGTAGTAATTATAGTTTATGGCCTGTCGGTCAAAAGGAAAACAAACATTTATGGGATACAGAACTCGAAGGAATATAATTTACACATACATATTCGAACTTCACTTTTGAGGGCTCTGTTGAAGAGTAGCAACTGCATAGAAAGAAAATATCGCCACCTTGTAGCTAAGCATATAGAATGGTCTATAATGTATCAAATAAGCTCAGATTTTAATAAACTAAGAACATAGCCCTGCCATCAGGCCAGGGAGTGGACCTGCTACATTTCGGGCCGTGCCTGGAGTCCCTGTCCTGGGAAGCTGAGGCTCTGGGGTCAGCTGTGTGCCTAATGATCTACAAAATGGCTTCTGCAGCTGTTTGCTCAATTCCTGCAGAGCTGAGAGAATGTGTGCCTTGGTACAACTGCCTTTAGAAAAATGGGCCAAAACCTTACAAAAATAATAATAATAAAAAAGATGCTTGACACAGCTAGACTATCAAAGCTATTACTGATCAATTGTGCATTCGTCATAACCCAGCCACCTCAGGGGTCAGGGGCATTTCAACAAGACTGGCAAGGAAGCTGAAATGAAAAGGAACTGGCTTTCCTTCCTGTTTATTAGAGGAAATACAGGTGCATCTGTGCCACCTAATTTCTTCATCTGAGGATTCAATTAAGCATGGAGTAAAGATATTGGAGAGAAAATATTTCACAAAGTTCCAAAAGCAAAACTTGAATTTGGGGTGCATTGGGTACTTCCATGAATGCTCGTGAATGGGGTGCTGTGCAGGCACCATATGAGGCATTCCATTACGATCCAGGGGTGACCTACAGTCCATCTCAGGGTGCTTGTGGTGTGCAAGCACACTGCCACCTGACACAAGGTACTTGGAGCTGTGGATCTGGGTATCAGTGACAGTCCTGAAACCAGCTCCCCACAGGTACCAAGAGATGAGAATACAGTGCTCACTCATACCCCACCCCTGGGACTCCAAGGCAAAGGGTATAGACTCAGACTCACCCTGACCAACATGCTATCGGCAAAGGAGGCTGGGTTGTCCACCTCAGTGAAGGCCGGTGGGCCGGTTCCCATGATTCTCCAGCGCATGTAGAGCACGCTGGCCCCGCCAGAGGTGAGGAGTGTCATTCGGAAGAGGAGGCCCCCACTCCTGAGTGCACCCAGATTCTGAAAAGACACCACAAACCTCCTGCTGAAGCTGGTTTCCAAGCCGAAGTGTAACCAAGCCAGGCACCGACTGGATGACTTGACACTGCACTAAAGGGCTGGCCACATTAAAATTTGAAATCGCAAGAACTGCCTGAAAAATGGCATTTGAAATCATCAAGTGCTTGACATTTTCCACGTCTGGGCCAGAGACAAAAGTACATACTCACCTCTAATGACTTGTCCTTACGCAGTACCTTCTGGACCACTTCCAGAACATTGAATTTACCTATCACCAAGATGTCAAATACCGCATTCAAACCCTAAGGAAGCAAAGCCATGCAGTTAGGGGTGGGAGAGCCCAGCTTACATGAGGGAGAGGTTACAACTTTATAACAGCATCTATACAGGGAATGGGAAAGGTTAGATAGCCTCAGAATTCCAGTGTTTAACAAAGAACACCCTATGTTTGCATGAAATTAGCACACAGCAATGTATTACATCCCAAGTAAATCCCTGTTAGTAATGATTTCCCATTCTGCATTTAAAAGTATTTATGATTCAGAATAACTAAAAATTGAGGTTTCCTGTGCGAAGCTCCCCAGAGGTCCCACTTTTCTTTTTCCCTTCATTAGCATGAAACAGTGCTTTGGTCCATGTAGCAGGGTTACTCACTTGTGCAACAGCTGCACCTACGAAAGCAAAGGGTACCTCAATCCCCCTGCCCAGCAGCGGGTGAGCCCATGCTGGCTGAGCCGGGCACAGCAGCAGGCAGTGCGGAGCCTGTGGAATCCTGAAGGGGCTCTGGAGATCTGCCTGGTCCAGTTCCTGTGGCCCAGAGTGCCACTCTCTGGGCACACAGTTGGACTACCTCACAGCTGCCCCACAGGCAGCTGAGCTCAGCCTACAGACCTTGAGGAGCAGTGACGTGCACCGTTGTAGGTGCACATAAAAGCCGGCAGCACTCCTGCCTGGGGCTCCCTTCCCAGGGTGCTGGGAGGGAGAGGCCAGGAGACTTGGGAAGCTGGCCTGGCTTCCCTCAGCTGGGCCTGCTGTATGCAGACGGTCACCTCTATCAACCTGAAGAACTGCCCAGGACAGTCAGGTGAAGAGCAAATCACTTCAATTCTGCGAGGCCACCAGTAGTGTGGCCCTGCCTGTGCACACAGCCTCAGCGAGCAGGTAAGCACTGCTTCAGCAGCTACTCTGTCCACCATTGCAGCTGAGAAAGAGGGGAGCTGTGGTAGATTTTTCATGTACACTGCCATGCAGGTGACATCACCCTGTCGAACTCCCTGCCCAATCTAGAAACAATTATCTGAATACATCTGATGGGTATGGTTATGCTGCCTCTACAGTGGGGCTGTGTGAAAAAAAGATTAAAAATCATCTGAAGCTAGGGGTAATTTGTGGTTTTCAGAGCAAGCATGACATTCCTATTTGACCCCATCCCACAAACCTTGTCCCCACTAATTATCCAATCCATGGGCCGGTGCCGGGTGAAACATTTCAAAGAATCTTGATTGTATTCACTCATGTGATACATGATCATAGCGGGTCACAGAAGGCTATCTCTCTGCCTCGTTGAAAAACCACTTTCCATAAGGGCGGAACTCCCTGTTTAGCTGTCATTTTCTTGTCACATGGTTTTTCTGCCTGGAGCTGAGGGACAGTCACCAAGAGGGGTCACCAACACTGAATCAAACACAAGACTAGTATTCTTTCCTCCATCTCCCTTAATGGCAGCACCACAATCTCCATGTTTTATTTATGCACGTTCAATGCAATTTGTAGTGGACCTAGAACACTACTGTATACAGGAACTTACTGAGGGCCTGGTCAATGAGGATTCTGACTAAGCATAACAGGGGTGGGGACTGAGACCCTGAATCCCTCACAAGTTCCCTGATGCCATGATGCTCTTGGTCCTCAAACCATCCTTATATTGGAGCAAGATCTGGGAGTAGGGGCCTCAACAGGATAGCTCAGGCCCCCTGGGGTGTCCAGCAAGGTCTGTAAGCATTTATTTTGTCATAGCTCAGGGAGACCTATTGATATGAAGGGGGCAGAGGCCAAGATGCTGCTGAATGCCCTATAATACCTAGGATGGACACCATAGGAATGAATTATTTGGTCAAAAATGTCATAATGCCAAAGAAAGTCTGGTTCAGATAAACTCAATAAAAAAGTAACTCAGGAGAGCTAACTACCTCTCCACAGTGGTTCTTTCATAGCCATTTCCTGGCTAGCTAACCTGAAGTTTACAATAAAGCATGACAAAACCTTTAATCCTTGCCTTGACTTGTGTCAACTCCCAGGGAAAGGGCCTTTCTCTCCCAAGCTTTTCCTTTAAAGCTACTCAGATTCTAATTCTTTGTTTTCCCATGTCTTTTTTTTCTGCTCACATTCTTTATTTCTAAAGTTTTCTCTAATCATGAAAAGCTAAAAGCAGGCTAAGACAGAAAAAAGAAGAAGAAGAAAAAAAAGATTTCCATGTTTCTTCCTGCCTGGAGTTTCAAACCCAGACTGTTGAGACCAGATCTAAGAGCATTCATAGGAAAGCCTGCTCCTTCCTCTTTGGTGCTGCCATGGAAGCTGAGCATGATGGGACACAGAAGCTGAGCATGATAGGACATGGAAGCTGAGCATGATGGGACACAGAAGCTGAGCATGATGGGATACAATCAACTCTTCTTTAAATTCATGGTGTCTTCTTTAAATTCATTGGTGTCTGTATGAGGTGGTCACTTAATGTCTATTATTTCATGGGCTGAGTCTCATTCCATGAAGACTCACTTGGAATCTACTTGGTGAATATGTTTATTCCTGGGAGTCCCCAAAAGACACAGTACCTTCCCTCATGAAATTCAAGTACAATGGAAGAGGCAGAAGACAAAGGAACAAATGAAGAAGATCCCTACAGACCAATCCTATCACCACGGTCATCAGGGCACACAGCAGTTGCTCTGATGGGGCTACTGCAGTAGGGTGGAGCAGATGAGGGTGAGGACTGGAAAGAGTGAGGGCAGGGCCAGGGAGTGGGACCAGGCTGTCCAGGCAGACAGCTTGATAGGTTTGGGAGGGTGCAGCCCAGTGTGAAGTGGGATAGCAAGAAGCCTGGGAGGGTTTCAGAAGAAACGTGTGCTGTAAGCACCTTTTAATTTTGGACCATTAAGATTACTCTGATGGCTATGGGAGATGGGTGGAGGGGGCCAAGGGTGGAATCAAAGCAGGGAAGGAGAGAGGGGAGTGCGCCTCACAGGGACCTTCACACACAGGGAGCTTCAGCAAGCAAATCTACCTGACTTAATTAAACGCTGACAACAAGGGGTTTAATTGGAGTGCCAAGGAGACAGAGTGACACATGCTAGCATACTATTCCTCCTGGACACCCAGAACACAGTACTCAGGCCTGTGCACCTATGCTGTGCTCTAGTTTCCACCGAGTCCTCACTGGGGACAACGGATTTTAAAGTAGCTCTTATTTGATGGGTCTTATCGTTTTCAGGTTTTAAAACACCACTAGGTTGCTTTTAGGTAGCGAGGCACTAGGGTTCCTTCTAGGGTGAAAGACACGCTGCATACTGTGGCTGGAGAATGGTTTCACAGGTGTGTACCACTGACCAGATTCAAGCTACACTTTCACGTCTGTGTGTTTTAGGGTATATAAATTACACTTCGACAAAATCATAGTAAAAATAAATGACTGTAAGGTACACCTGGCTTAAAAGAGCCTTTTGAGAATGAAGTTCTACTTGATACAGTAAGATTATCATATGTATTTTTTTAAATGAAGAACAATAATCTTAATTTCATGTCAAATTGCAAACATGGAATCCCTAGGTCCCTGTGTCCATTGAGTCTCATTTGTGGTGGACACTGGAGAAGCAATGAGGAAGTGGGTGCACGTGGGTGGTCTGTGGGTGCATGTGAGGGTCTGCTACCTACTCAGTTCCAAAGGACATCTGGCCCTTTCTAGACCCAGGACCAGAGACTCTGCTGGGTCAGTCACCTGCTGTATCTAGAATTGTGGATCTGGGAACAGCACTTAGGGAAACTCCCACCGCTCTTCTCTTTTCCTACAAAAGCTCTTTAAGAGGCTGAGCCACGGTTCCCCAAGAACCTCTCGTCACCACTGCCTGCCAGGGGTGAATGATGGTCAAGTGACAGTCCCCATTTGAGTTGCAACAGCACGGGCCATTGGTGCAGATGGTTCACTGTCACCAGTCCCACCAAGGGATGTAGAAGTGGAAGCAGGGCTGGCCCTCAGTGATTGCAGTGAGGGGAACTGCTGGGCTGCGTTCAGTGTGCAGGGCCAGGCCGTGTGCAGCTCTTACCAGCACAGTGATCCCCTGCTCTTTGCACAGCATGGCCACTGCTCCCAGAAAGATGCTCAGCAACACCCATCGTGTAGAAGGATGTGTTCCCTCCTTGGTGCCTGCTGAGAAGGGAAACAATAAGCAAGTTACGCAACACACTCTGTTTCATTAACATCAGGAATTCTCAGCACACACCTTGAAGAGGCACAATCTGAAACCAGTGCGATCCCCAGCTAGTGTGTCTCCTTGGGCGAGTGTGTCCTTTAGCACTTCTGGCTGAAATACACACTCCAAATGGGACACATACACCATCTTGAGGCTCCCGAGCACATCCCAGGGGACAAAGCCTTGACTACAAAGACGCACGAGCTCCTTCTTCTCAACCTGCTAGTGGTGTTGAGGACTCCCCCAGAGACTGCCATGACCCGTTTTGTTCCAGGATGACCTTGACAGTCACTGCTGCTCTCACAAGGGAGCAGCTGGCCCACTTGAGCAGCTCTGTGAATCCCTACTAACACTGCCACAGTGGCCTGGAATGTCAGGTGGCTTGGGATCAGTTTGCTGTGTGCAACATCTCTGATCTCTACCAAAGGGCATGTGACACAGAAGGAGGGCTGGCTACTGCCTGGCACTGGGGCAGTAAAGTCTGGGGCACACTGCAATGCCAGCCCACATGGTGGCTCGGCAGCAACAGGAAGTCGAAGCAAGAAGCTTAGGTGCTGGAGCTGGAGGGAGAAGCCCAAGCCCCGAGATGTCTGGAGCAGGCAGGGTCCAGCCATCCACTCTGGGCCCCAAGGTGAACTATGGGACTGGGGACACAGAAATGATGCCCCATTGCTCTTCCTCTGAAGTCTTCACCTTATCAACATCAGTGAATCAACGCTGACTCTCCCTGGAGGATCCAAACATTACCCTGCCCTGAGGTTCTGGGTCTCAGAAGCAGAGCCTCCTGCATCCTGTCGCTGCCATGTGCTAAGTAAACAAACACCTCAATGGCCTCACTTACAAAACCAGGGCGGTAAGACCTACTTTGCAACAGATTTGAGAGGGAAAAAGGATTGCAGAATACTTGTCCATATGTGTTATGAATTACATGAAGGCAAAACATCACCCTGGAAAATATATAAGAAACTGATCATAGTAGTTTCTGAGATGTTCTAAGCAGAAGAAAAACTGAGGTAAGAAAGGGGAAGCCTTCCTTTTCACTGTATAACCTTTAGCACCTTTCACATGTTCTTAGCAATATATATATATATATAAACATGAGTTGAAGCTAAACATTTTTAAAAAACTGTATGATCTAGTGCCAAGACCAGAGAGACTACTCAATAAATGCTTACTGTACACGAACCAGCAAAACTCCTCCATATAGAGGGAGATCAAATTTCCAGCGAGGCTCTGATGCAATGGTCAACGGCCGGCTCATGAGTCATCCTGTCACCAAATGTGCCAGGTGTGCTATGCAGCGTAACAGGCTGCTTATAGAAGCACTTACACACAAAATTAGCAGTAATGCTGTGTGCACATGCGTGCGTGTGTACCTGCTTAACACACAGACCCTGGACAGAAGGATATGAAAATCTTGTGAACCTTGATGAACTAATCAGCAAAGCCCTAGGCTGGAAGGCCTTCCCATCCCACCAACAGCCACCAGGCCTGGCCTGGGGCAGCAGGCTCTCCTGACCTCATATCCTGCATACCCAGGCTGGGGGTCCTGTCAAGATGAAGAACCTGCACCGGACCAAACACGAGCAGGCCTAATTTCTGATGGCTTGACACCAACTGCTCCCTTCAGGCTAAATAAAGGTCACCCTTCAGAGAGTGGCTTTCATTGGTGGCCCTGCAAAGGTGACCACTTGGTTTCTCTGGGTCTCTATTCTCTTCCAGGCACAGGGACCAACTCAGCACATTCTCTCTTTGCTTTGCCTACTCCATTCTCTAGGGCTACAATGCCCCAGGCAAAATCCTCCCCATCTTATAAAGCTGTCAAATGTCACTTCATTGGGAACTCCCCCTCAAGTCTCCTTGTGGAATCCATCTGCTGCACAGCAGTCAGAATGGCAAACAGTCCTGCTGCTGTGTGTCAGACTGCCCCTGTGGGCAGGTGCCCCTGACCAGCCACCGAGATGAAGTCAGGACTGGTGCAGCCTCTAAAACACCCTTCTCAAGTCAATCACCACACTGTTCGCAGCTTATCAGAAGCACTTGCCTTTCTGCAGCTCCCCTAGATAGGAGTTTGTCGGCATCATCAGGAGCGGCTGATTCTTTGTTCCCGGGCTGTCTCTGTGCATCACATCAAGGTAACCCTGGCTTCCACCTATTAGATGCCAAAGGCAACCCCCTCCCCAGCTGTGTCACAGACCAAGTGATTTGAGGAGGAGGTCACCACCAAATGGAACCACTGCCTTAAACCAGGGCTACACAGAGTGGAGTCCCAGGATAGACAGTCCAGCCTGGCCTTGAACTCACAGTGATCCTTCTACCTCAGCCTCCCAAATGCTGGGATTACAGGTGGGCGTCACCATACCCGTCACTGGGTCCTTTTAACAAGCTTTGTGGATGATTCTAACGCCCCTTACTGTGGAGGGCATCACCCTCTGTGGTAAGTGTGCACACAGCCACGTTACTGGCACCATGCCTGGCTTGGAGTTGCAGTGGCAAACTGCACTGCCCAAATCAGCAGCAGCACCTGACCGACACGGGGGTGTATGAAGCAGAATCCTTTCTAGTAGGGGTCACCTGGCCTTGACATGAGCGGCTTCAGTTGTGGGGATGAACAGTTCGGAACACAGTGCCTTGGTGTGTAAGTCCAGCGTCTGTGGAATATTCACCCTCATTCGGAGCCCAAGTCTGCCCTTCTTCCTTTCAGGTCTTGGCACCAACTGGTTCAAGCAGCTCAAAGCCCACAGATCAGCTCCTCACTCCTGCAAACTATGTTATGTGGGTGTTTTTAGCTCAATCAAGCAAACTAAGGATGATTCCCCAGTAGAAATTAATTACAGTATAATACATGCAATACCAAAAGGCCACGATTATAACCACAGCAATAATTTAAAAAACCCCTATCGCATTAAGTATTTGAGTGTCTCTGGGAACCTGTCGTTTCCTTTGGTCATTTGCTAGCAGTCACCGGGGGACAAACAGGCCCAGCCTCCCACCACATGGCACAGAGAGGGACCACGATGGTCAACATCATCCTCCTTCCAAATGTACCTTCCAGAGTCTACATCAACCACCACAGGATTCTCTGATACCAACAGATCACATGGAGACCAGAACCAGGGCACCCGCTCTGACCCCCCGCCCCCCACCTCAACCCGTTACCTGAATATGACGTTTGGCCTTTTAATTTCCAGGATCTGTGTTCGTACTGTTCATAGAAACATTATATCATTTCCCAGCATAATATCCCCAGTTCTCAATTTCAAATTCAAGTTCCCTTATCATTTGACAGTTTTGTCCAGAAAACCTGACCCACTAGTGTTTTACTTGACGGTGACATGTGTTAATTTCCCTCCCCATGGACCACAAGGGAGACACATTCCCAGGCCCTGCACCGAGACACCCGGAGGCCTGCTCTTGAAGGCACCCTGTTAACACCAAGTTAAATTACTGATGGGCTCCTGTTCCGCTCCTGTCTAGAATTTAAAATGGCTTTCAGCCTTGGATGGCTGGCTCACGCTTAATTGAACGCAGGAAAATAATACACAGAAAACACAGCCTTGGGATTTACTGATAGTCTTTTCCCTACTCCTGCCCATTATTTTCACTACACCTCAGACTTTAAACTCCCTCCACTCTTAAATCTACATTACAATCCTCAAAGTCCTATTCGTTAATCTTCCCTCAGGCCGACTCCCCATCCCATGCAGACCAAAGGGAGATGAAGGTCTTATTCTTTGCTGACGAAGGGTCTTCAGTTTCAGTAATCACTGAATATTAGACATCACGCCTCATGTGGCAGCTATTTCAGACTGGAAGTGAAATTTCAAGGGCCGGTTATTAACCTAGTAAGCATTTCCTATTTGGAGAATGACATCACAGCTTTGCTGCTGTCCAGGGCAAATGTCATTACAGCCAAGGAGCACCGGACACTAGTCCCAACTGCGATAGTTGTGTCACATACACACCCTATTTAGAACTCTGTATGAAAAAAGGTGTGAAGTATTTAATATTTTTATATCAATTATATGAAGTTTTTGATATACTGAGCTAAACAAAATGCATTATTAGAATTCATCTCACCTGTTTCTGTTTATAATGGGGGTACTAGAAAATTTTACATCACACGAGTGGCTCTTGTTGCATTTCTGTTGCTCAGCAGGGTCTCCAGACCATAGGATCAAGATCCCAGCTCAGCGATTAATGCACTTGCACACTGCTGGATGCATTCCATTTCTACTGCTGGAAAGCCGGAAGATATGAAAGGAGCTGGTCTATTTAAATCCAGCTTTTCCTCCTCTAATCTCTGCCACATTATTCACTCAACATTTTATCTGAAGTTATAAGACAAAGTATGCACACACACTTTTTGAGCTTTCCAGGATCCAAACTGGAAATCTTCGTTGATATTTTTAAACAACATTGTATAAGTCAGAGGCATCCTCTTTATAGATGCATGGTAGACATGTCACGGTAAACAAAGACCAAACTATGTGGCACTGACAAAATGGGGCCGGTACTGGGTAAATAAAAAGGCTGTATAAAAATCAACCCGGGGAACTGGTTCCGAGTTCTGGGACAGTGCAGCATAGTGGACTTCTAGTGATAACCTGTTCTGGTATAGTTCTACCAAATAATTCCCAGAATTAAGATTTCCTTCAAGTCTTAGTTATGATGTCATGCAAATAATTATCAACACACAATAACACAGGTAGATTTAAACTGTTTCTGCGGCTGTTCTTACTTAGTAACTACTGCTAGTCATTCTTTACATTTTGTCAAATCTGAACATTTCAATGAGGTGAGTGAGCCAGACACCAGCAGGCCATCTTGTATGGTGTGGATACCACCTGTTCAATCACCCGCTTCCTTTATTTCCTCTTCTATCAGAAATTGTCTCATAGTGACACATTTCCTACATAACTAGAAATAATTTAATACCGAAAAGTTAATATAATTT